AAGAGAGAGAGAGAGAGAGAGAGAGAGAGAGAGAGAGAGAGAGAGAGAGAGAGGAGGTTGACAAGGTATTTACCTCTGTATGAATAATTTCTTACATGTGTGCTTCCAATTCTTTGAAGCACTTCAAAATAAATGTGTCTTGGATTGGGGATGGGGAGGGTGGCGTTTGTCCTGTTGTGTTCTGAATATCCCAATTTGCCTGAGGTAGAGTCCTGCTCTATGGGTTTACAGCATGTTCGAGCAGTTACCATAGAATTGTATTGATAATTGGAGAACTGAACTCAATCACCAGGGAGATCTGAAACGTGTGATTGCCACGTCACTTATTTTGTTGTTCAACGTCATAACTATTATTTTGTTTTTGTATACTTGTATTTGCATATTTGCAAACATTTCGTCTCATGGTTGAATTTGATTTGTCTGACGTGAATAGGTGCACTGTTCGTTTGCGTTTTCTACAGCAGCTGTTTTTTTTCACTTGAGCAGAAGCAACTGTCATATTCGTTTCCTTGTTTCCTACTTTTTGTCTGACGAGATAATGTGTTTAAACGTAGTTTCTCTGTGATAAAGTGTGATCCTACGTAGATTCTATCCTTCTCTGGTGTCGTCTGTGTGGTTGAAATGTGTTACACTGTTTTGTTCCTGTTCTAGTTTTTCTTCTGCCCTGAACGCCAGCCTGAGCTCTGTTCTCTTTCACTCCCCTGTCCCCCAGTATCGATACATGTTTGGGCATCGCTAGATTTCGGACGGCCTTCCTTGTGAATTCTACTTTCAACTTACATTTTAGTCTAATTGAAACCAAGCCCGAAATCGAGACAGTAAGCTGAAAAAGTCATGCGACTGAAATTTTCCTGTCTTCAAATACTTCATCTTCGAAAATATCCCCCCGGTATTTTCTGCTCTCCGAGCAGTTTCCTTTTATTATTTCCCCTTACCTTTTTACGAGAAGAAAGAAGAAATCGCAGTATCAAAATATCAAAATATTAATAATAATAACTGAACTCACCGGTTCAACAGCTTCAGAACCCTAACGAAAAAACGCGATTAGCGATTTAAATGTCAGCTCAGAATGATAACAATTCCTCTTTTGGAGTTCAGGTGTCCTCTAATTTGAATTTCCTTTCTCCACTCTCGTTTCAGTGGATCAGTTGACTTGAGGCCCTCCGAAAGCTGGCGAATGTCGTCCGGCCCAGTTGTCCCCCCGGAAGCTAGGATGGGAGCCTTTGGAAAGGGAACTTGTCAAACCACGCTTTGTCCACCCTAGCTCTCCTTGTTGTACGACTCAAACTTCTCTAAGTATGTTGTGTCTGTTTGTGAATACAGTGCCACTACAGTAACTGTTTGTCCCCCCCGTTTGCGTGAGAGTTTTTCTTTGGCTGAATTGAACACAGGAAAGGAATCCCCCCCCCTTTTCCCCTTCTTTTCCTCTTACAATAAATTAACAGACAAATAGACAAACACGAAGACAATTGATTAGATAAATGCTTGAATAGATAAATAAGAAAATAGATAATGTAATAAAGAAATAGGCACATAAATAAATGTATAAATGAATAAATAAGTAATCTAAGGTTTAGAAGAGTTTCACGGCACTTGCAAAACAATAAGGTCATATAAATGCCGCAGATGATCTAATTAAGTAAACAAAACATGTAAATAAATTAGTAAATAAACACAAAAGAATAAATAAATAGATGGTATTCAATTTACAATTTCCTCACTTTCTATCAAAACCTTGACTCTCAAAACTAAAGTTCGAGTAATACATAAAAAAAGAATAATAGCATATACTAAAATGTTAAATCAAACGAACATCGTTTTAAAAAAATGTAGCATAGGAAGTACAGGTACCATTAAACTAACTAGAGGTTTAGTATGACCAAAACCCCAACTCTACAAAGCTTACAAACACACAATAAAGACAAATTATACTGCGTGCCTTTGATTAAACTATTATTGTGTGTGGCCCAGAGTTTTGGAAAGGGAGAGGGGGGGGGGGGG